CTGCTTGGGGGCTGGGGCTCCAGGTCACAAGCCCAATACAGAGAAGGAAGGGGGCTGGGTGGGGAGCCCAGGGCAGGGATAGAGGGGGCAGCGGGGCAGGATTGAGGGGCATCAGCAGAGCTGGGGGGAGCCAGCCAGGTGACTTCCATCCCCCCCCACCCATGCTGCCTTCCCAAACTGAGCTGGGACTGGGCATTTTCCAGGAAGCTGTTAAAGATTCACCCAGAGCGGATCTGGGACCTCACGCCTGCCTGGCTCCCTGCCGCGGCACAGGTGTTTGTGCCAGGGTTCCCCCCGCACAGGTGTTTGTGCCAGCCCCCCCCACGCACACTCAGGTGTCCGTGCTGGGCTCCCCCCAGCTCAGGGAAGTGCAAAGCAGTGGCTGGGGTGCTGGGAGGGAGCCGTGCCAGGGCAAAAGGGAGCAGGGAAGCGTGTGAGCACACAGGGGGCTGCGCATGAACGCACAAGGGGCAGCGCAGGGCAGCGCGTGAGCGCACAGGGGGCAGCGCGTGAGCGCACAGGCACATGAGCGTGACCAGCTGTGAGCACGAGGGTAGCCTGTGCCCCACTGCACGGGGTCCCTGTGCTGGGGGGTGGGGTGGGGCGGCTGGAGAGGCCAGCAAGCATCAGAGCCTGGTGACCTGTGGGGCGGTCAATGCCAGCAAACCAGCCACCCCCTGGTGCCCCACAGAGCAAGGGCCTGGGGGTGGGCACAGGCGGGCACGGTGTGTGCGTCGGGAGCTCCTATACTGCACTAAAGGCCCTGCCCTGTGGCCCTGCCCACCTGAGGCCGAGTGCCCGTTGACAGGGGCACAGCACATTCCCCACCCCAAACTCGGGGCCCCCAGCCCCCAGCAAGCCAGGAGCGGAGCCCAGGCCCACGGCGGCTGCCCCCGCCAAACGAGCCACCGGCGTGCGTGCGAGAGCGGGTGCGCGCGCCCAGAGCCGAGCGGTGGCAACGGGGGGTGCCTGCCCTGTGCAGCGCAGCCCCGCGCCCCACCCCTGGGGCAGAGGCCTCCCATTGCAGCAGGCGCAGGGCGAGATTCTCGCGCGCTCTGGCCAGGGAGCACGAGGGAGCGAGCTGGCTAATATCAGGGGGTTTATACCACTGCCCATCACCGCCACCTCTGGGCCCCTCCACCTCAAACCAACAGCAATGGCCATGGGGTCGCTGGCTCCTCAGCCTGCCCAGGGGGAGATCTCGGCTTGAGGGTGGGGTGTTCAGCAGGGGCAGGCTGCTACAAGTGGCAGGGGTCTGGGGCCCTGCTCCCCGGCCGGATCTGCTCCTCCCAAAGCCACCGGGGAAACAGCCTGGCCCCACAGTCGCCAGGCACGTCCCGCCCCGACCCCCATCAGCCCCTGGCCCGGCTACCGCAGACCCCACAGGAGCAGCTGCGGCGTACTCCTCCCCCAGAAGGTCTCCTGGTCTCCGACAGCGAGAGGCTGGCTTTGGCCCTGACTACAGACGGCTTCGCACTAGCCACGATAACGCCAAATACTCCAATAGCCACCTGAACAGCCCAGCTCTCGCTTGGCCCCAGAGACACCCTGTGCGAGAGTCCCACCGGCTAATCACACCCGGCCTGGTGCTTTCAGGAGGCTGGAATTTCCCCCTCTCCATTTCACTGCATGCCCCATCCCCGAGGGACGCAGAGACATGGCCCCATGTGCTGGAGCAACCTGCCCCGGGGCAGGAATGGAGCCGGGAGCCAAGCCCAGAGCCAGCGCGAGGGCCCCCACAGCTCGCACAAACACTACTCTGAACAGGTGTGTGCAGAGCGCACGCGCATGTGCACAGCCGAGAGGCAGGATCGTGCGTGCACAGCTGCACTACACACACTCGCTGGCATACCCCACTCCCTCCCCACCAGCTCTCATGCTTCCCAGGGAAGTCCTGGCTCTGTTCCCTTTGGCTGGGGCGCAGCGCTATTTTGGGAGGCCCGCGGGAGCGGGAGGGACCAGCCGCCGATTCATCCTGGGATCTTTATTCCCATCTGCTGGGGAAAATAAAACCACAGCCAAGCCCAGGTGCAGGGAGGGGCCGGGCTGCCTGTATCTGCCGGGACCTCCCGTACCTGTCGGGACCTGCACCTTCCCCAGAACCCAGCGATGCTGCTTTGGGTACCGGTGACATTTACCCTATTGCCAGGGAAACAGGAGGGCTGGGCAGGTGCGGGCAGGCGAGGCAGATGTCGGGCTCTGGGCCGAGCCCAGGCTCAGTCACCGACAGGGGGAGGGGGGCCTAGATGCCCCCGGGCGCTGCTCCCTGAGCTGCAGGAGATTCTCCCCTGCTGGGAGCAGTACGGGGTCCTGAGACGCTGCAGAGCATCCAGCAGGGGCCGTGGCACACGTGGGTCAGGTCGCCAGCTGGGCACAGCCCACACACTCTGCTTGGCACAGAGCCGTGAGGGCCACAGCGCCCCAAAAGGCCACTGCTGGATGGGGTCTCCCAGGCCCCCGCTCGGGGGCCCGCTGGCAGTAAGTGACAGGGGAGGGGGCAGGGCCAGCGGCTCCCAGGAGAGGCTGAGATGGGGGAGGCTCTGGGGCAGGCAGTTTGGGGCAGAGGGGGTGCCAGAGGGCGGCGCCATGGGCAGGGGGTTCAGCACAGATGGTACGTGAGAGATGGGGAGCAGGACACGGGCACAGGGCTACAGGATGCACCAGCATGGGGGGCAGAGGGGGGCGGGACCTGGCATCCCACCCACGGGGGTCGGACCTGCAGTCACCCATCACTCAGAGCAGCCTCCGCCCCCTTGGGTGCCTGCAGCTGGGCCCGTTACAAATGCCATAGCTGGCCTCTGGCCCCTGGAGCCTTCCCAGCCCCTCGGAGACCCGGCTCCCGGGCGGGGGGCGGGCCCAGGCTTGGCTGAGCTCTACAGCTGCTCCAGCGTTTCCTGCAGCAGAGGCCGCTCCTCGGGCAGGCACTGATCTCCTGCCACGTCCCCAGCCCGCGCGGGGGAGGGGGCCATGTGGGGAGGCAGAGCCGGGCTCTCCTCCCACCCCGCAATAGGGGGATCCCGCCTCGGCCTGCCTGGGGGGACCCCGAGCCCTGGCAGGCTGCACTGCATCCCCACACACAGCGCCCTGGACTAGAGACAACCCTCCCCTTCCCCAGCCCCCCGCCCGCCGCAGATCTGCCCAGCCCCACGCCCGGGGCTCTCTGCAGCCTTTTGCCCCTGCTCAGCCCCCTTTTTGCACCCTGCCCCGGCAGCACACGAGAGGGGCACGGGAAGGTGCCCGCGGGCCGCAGACCCCACCGAGGCTGACTAGGCCTGGTGGGGGGACCACAGGCGAGCACAATGGGGGAGGGGACTCCGCTCTGCGGCGGAAGGAGCCCGGGGCAGGGGTGATAAGGGAGGAGCAGAGCACCTGGGAGTGGCGATACCACGGGCACCACACCCACAGGCCCCCCAGAGGTCACAGAAGCAGGGCCTAGTGGTCAGAGCACAGGTCTGCGAGCCGATCGGCCCCTGGGTCCAGGGGCACCGTGGGAGCTGATGGGAACGGCAGCAACTCCTGCTCTCGGTGCACAGGGGCTGGGCACGGGTGATCGTGGGACCAGCCCACCGGTGAGTGTGCACAGCCCTCGTGACGCACGAGGCCAGGAACCCTGGCTCCTGAACCCGGCTCCTCAGTTCAGCTGTGGAGGCTCCAGAGGAGCCCGGGACAATCCCTGGGGTGCTGGCCACGCGAGCGGCGTCACACGTGCACCACGCGAGCAGGTCTCCGTCGGGGTGGGGCTCTCGCCACGAAGGGTTAACAGGGCACACACTCACACCCCCGCAGTGCATGCTGGGAGATGGAGGCTCTATGGGCCACCCCTCGGGCTCACAGCGACTGCTGCCAAGGGCCCTGCCACAGACAGGCCCAGGAGGACCGGCTGCTCTCGGGGACGTGTGAAGTTTGGAGGGGGCCCAGCTGGGACCATCCAGCTCGTGGTGACAAAGCAGGCTGGTTATGTGCTACTGCTTCCCAGGGGAAACCGAGGCACAGAGCGGGACGGAGCCTTCACAGTGAGTCAGGAGGGAACCCAGAAGTCCCGGCTCCCGGTACAGCGCCCTCACCCCTGAGTAAGAGGCATTGTTCTGGGGGTGGCTGTGCTCAGCCCTGGCACCTCTAGGGCAGCCCCCGCCCTTCCCTGCCAGCCGAGCCCATGACGCAGCCCCACCTCCCACCCCCGAGACAGCCATGGGCTCATGCACAAGACTTCCCGCGCCACCCACCGCGCCACTGAGCCAGAACTGGATAGGGAGCCCGAGAGGGTGGCACAGCCCGGGAGGGAGGGAGGGGGTCTCAGCCCCCCATCAGCACTTGATGCATTCTAAGGGGAGCCAGCAGCGCCAAGATCTAAACTGTGCTCTGCAAGCTGGAGCCGGCTCAGCTCCTGCCCGGATCCTGTGCCTGGCGCCACCCCCACCCCCCGGAACAATGGGGACGGGCAGCGCCAGAGCCACCACACGGACAGTCCAGCAGGGCGCGGTGGGGCAGAGCCTAGCCCTTGCACCGGCACCAACTGGGGCATGGGGTGGCGCTGCCAATCCCCCCACCACTGCCCAGACAGCGAATGGAACAGCAGGGGCCTCTGGAAATGCCATGGGCAGGCCCCGGGACAGAGCAACTGCAATGCCAGCCATTCCCCCGCCCCCTCCAGACAGACGGGGAAACTGAGGCACAGGAGGGGTGGAACGCAGCAAATCAGGATAGGACCAGGAAGAGGACCCAGGAGTCCTGATCACCAGACTCCTGTTCCAGCCTCTCCCTCGTGACAGCCTGGCCCAGAACAGTCAGATCTCACGCTCCAGGGAGTCAGGCGGCATTGTCCCCACCAACCCCCCCGCAGTAATGCACAGCTGGCCAGGGGAGGGGGGCTCTGCCTTCTCGGCTGCTCCCAGAGACTTCGCCTGCCAGCCACTGACCTGGAGAGCGCAGGGTGCCTGGCACCATCCAACCCCCAGCAAAGCCCTCCCAGGCACCCAGGCAGTGGGACCCCCAGCACTCACCAGTAACCCCCCGCTGCATTTATCCGCCATGGCTGGGGGCTCGGGCGTGTGCTGCGCAGCCCGCCACGGGGGCTCCCGCCTGCCCACTCTCCGTCTCGCTGGCTGCACCCGGCTGGCACGGAGACGTCGGCACCAAGCGGCTCAGTCCACAGACAGTGCAGGAGAGAGCTGGGGAGAAACGAGACGGGAGTGACTCGTGGGCACGGGGGAGAGGAGCCGGTTGGGAAGTGCCCCTGCCCTCATGGGGAAGCACCCCCATCCTGCATCACTGCCCCATCTCTCCTGGGGGTGCACTCTCATCCTGCACCCCCACTCTCCCCGGGGGGTCAGCCCCACCCCTACCCTCCTGGGGGGGCACTCTCTTCCTGCACCCCCGCCCCTACTCTCCCGGGGGGTCAGCCCGACCCCTACCCTCCTGGGGGAGGGGGGGGACGGACTCCTGTCCTGCACCTCCAAAATCTGTTTTCATTCCTAGATTAGGGCCTGTTCCTCTAGTCGGGCTGGTCTCTGGGGGGGGGTCACTTCTTGCCATCACATAATCATTGCATGGTTCCACCGTCTGGCAGCTATGCTTAGGAGAAGGCCAGGGCTGGGCAGGCAGGGGCTGCGGGTCGGGAGTGAGGGGCACAGGCAGAGCCGGGCAGGGCTGGGCTGGCAGGGGCTGCAGGTTGGGAGTGAGGGGCACAGGCAGAGCTGGGGGGAGTTTGCCCAATGCTCGCCCCACACAAAGACTGAGCTGGAGGTGGCACGTGGCTGCGCCTGGCACAGCCGGGAGCAGAGGGATTCGGCCGCAGCTCAGCTGCCGCGGAGGACACAGATGGGAGGCGATTTCCTTCTGCCCTGCTGCACCGTGCGTGCTACTGCCGCTGCCGGGGACCAGCTGCTGCCAGACCTGGGGGGATGCTGCCACCCCCCCATTCCTCGGCGCTCCACACGCTCGGGCCGCCCTGCTCACACTCTGAGCCCACCGCTCGGGCCCTGACAGAGCCCTGCCTCGCTGCCAGCGCACAGGTCACTGCGCCATGAGCGCAGCTCGCCGGCCTGCCAGGAGCCCTCTGGCCCCGCGGGGCCCCAGACTCAGCTTCACCCGCAGCGGCAGGGCCACCTTGCAGTCCCCCGTAGTCCCCTGCCCCTCGTCCTGCGCCCCGGCGTGGCTCGAGCCCCCGCCAGAGAGAGCTATGGCCTGGGGAGGTGCCGGGGGAGTGGGGCCTGGAGCAGGCCGGGGTGGGGGTGTTGGCCTGCTGGGAGGAGGTGGGGCTGGAGCAGGGTGCGGGGCCTCCGGAGCCAGGCCAGCTGGGCTGCAGCAGGGCCTGAGCGGGTGAGATAAGGAGCAGGAGGCACCGCCCAGAGCCGATGGCTCCTGGGCCAGCCCCCAGCCCCTGCCTCCTACCCAGCAGCTCCGAGGGTGCAGGGACGGGGTCCCAGGCAGGGGCATGAACCCTGGCACAGCCCCCAGCCCAGTCAGGGTGCCGGCTGCTTGGAGCAGGTGCGCTACAGGCACTGCACAGAGCAGGCGGCGGGGGGCGGGGTACTCACCCCTCCCGGGTGCTAAGCCAATCCCAACGCCCTGGGCCATGCTCCCGACTCCTTCCTTCCCCTCCAGGAGGCCCCAGCCCACCCTCCCCCATGGCTAGCTGGGCCCAGCTGCTGTCGAGCTCCGGGGTTGGCAGGGATCCGGCTCCATGTCCCAAGCCCCCCCTGCAGTAAGGATGCTAGAAAACCTCTCCCAGCCATCTCGCTGCCCCGGCATTCACCGGGCACTCAGTGCGGCGCGTCTATTTCAGAGCGGGGCTTCCGGGCGAGATGGAAACCAAGAGCCTGCCTGGCACACGGACACTGGCCACCCCGAGCTGCCTTCCCTCCTGCTGCCCTGGATCCGCACCATGGGCAACTGCAGCCTCCCGCCCCCGGCTGCAAACGGATACAGGAGCCTCCTTCCCCTGCCTGTCCTAAACTGTGGTCTGGTCAAACAGCTGCTGCACCCCACCCCAGAGGTGGCTGCATTTCAGTAGTGAGCGAAGGGTACAGTCCCAGCTACCAATCCTCCAGGATGGAAAATGCCACCACCAAGACTGGGCTCAGGCAATTTGCATGTAGGCAAATGAGGTTTCTACTGTCTCTTGCCCACCCCACGCCCACCCCTGCTCACTCCCATGTGGGGAGGGACATAGAATATCAGGGTTGGAAGGGACCTCAGGAGGTCATCTAGTCCAACCCCTGCTCAAAGCAGGACCAATCCCCTACTAAATCATCCCATTCCAGTGCTTCACCACCCTCCTAGTGAAAAAGTTTTTCCTAATATCCAACCTAGACCTCCCCCACTGCAACTTGAGACCATTACTCCTTGTTCTGTCATCTGGTAACACTGAGAACAGTCTAGATCCATCCTCTTTGAAACCCCCTTTCAGGTGGTTGAAGGCTGATATCAAATCCCCCCTCACTTTTCTCGTCCGCAGACTAAACAATCCCAGTTCCCTCAGCCTCTCCTCACAAGTCATGTGCTCCAGCCCCCTAATCATTTTTGTTGCCCTCCACTGGCCTCTTTCCAATTTTTCCACATCCTTCTTGTAGTGCGGGGCCGAAAACTGGACACAGTACTCCAGATGAGGCCTCACCAATGTCGAATAGAGGGAAATGATCATGTCCCTTATCTTCTGGCAATGCCCTTACTTATACAGCCCAAAATGCCGTTAGCCTTCTTGGCAACAAGGGCACACTGTTGACTCATATCCAGCTTCTCATCCACTGTAACCCCTAGGTCCTTTTCTGCAGAACTGCTGCCTAGCCACTCGGTCCCTAGTCTGTAGCGGTGCATGGGATTCTTCCGTCCTAAGTGCAGGACTCTGCACTTGTCCTTGTTGAACCTCATCAGATTTCCTTTGGCCCAATCCTTTAATTTGTCATAAACCAGAGCTACTGGCCCTGCTCCAGGCACTGGTGAAGACCCAGTTCTAGAGCAGAAATCCGAGTCAGAGAGGCACGGAGCTCAAGGGCAGAAGGAACCATGTCGGTGACTGTCCCGTCCGACGCCCTGTCTAGCATGGCCCAATGTCACCCAGGTACCCTGTACTGAGCCCTAGAATTTGTGTCTGGCAGCGGGGCTGGCTCTGAGAGCAGCACTGCCCAGTGCCCCTTCACCACCCGTGCCACACACGTGTGCCTGGCCACCGGTTCTCGTTCTCCGCTCGGTACTGGCCGGGGCGTAGGGCATCGTGCTGAGACCCAAGGGGAGAGGTAGCATCCCTTTAAGAGTTAAAGGGGCTCGCTCATCTCCGCCGGAACTAGATCCAGAGGCAGTGGGCAGCGGTGCCGTTCCTGTTCAGAGAGGACTGGGCTCTGGCGCAGTGTCCTGCCTCTCCAAGACCTGCTGGAGGTCTGAGGGAGAACACTGTTCCTTTCAGAGGATTGGCAGCCAGCGCCCAGCCAACTGCCCTTTGGAGAACGAGCTCGGGGGTGCATGGCCCCTTTAAGGGCTGGCCGGGGCTGCGTCACCCACAGATGCCTGACCATGGCCCTGGCCCCAACTGCTCCTGTGACGTCAGAGTGGCCAGCAATGGAGAATGCATCCGACCCTCGGTAAGTTGCTCAGTGGAGGTTTGGCTCCCGCTCGGGGCTGGACCTGGAACCCCCTCCAACCACAGGCAAGGGAGGGGAACATCCCAGAGGGTGGCAAGAGCCCTGTGTCCTTCAGGGAGCCAGAGGCCTTCCTGACGCATGTGCTGAGCCCTGAAGCATGAGAGCTGATGCCCCTTCCCGTAGCTCACACGCTCAGCCAGCCCCCTGTAAACGCAGCCTCAGGTCCGGACTCTGCAGGCCCTGTGGCAGGGAGTGCCATGGGTCACACTGCAGGGTCTGGGAATCCATGCTGCTCAGAATAACCGGACCTGCCCTCTAGCCTCGTCTGCCCTGGGACGTGACACCCCCAGGCAAGGCTGAATACCCCAGGCCCTGCCCTCCCTCCCAAATCCCCCCAGACCCCCGGCACTGACCTTTCCGGCTGCTAGCGCCTAATCACCACCCAGCGCCCACGCGCTCCAAGCCCGTCCCGCCTGGAAGCTCCAGCCTCACTGAGCCCAGCTCAAGTCCTCTGCCCCCCCCCCCCCCCCCCCACACACACAGGGCAATGGGCGTGACTGACCGGCTCCCAGGCAGGGCGCCCTCCGCCAGCGCCACCCCATCACGGCCCCCATCAGCGGCTGGAGGCTGAGGCCAGACAGACTGGCAATACGGTGTGAGCGTTTAACCACCAGAGTAATTAACTGTTGGAACAATTTCCCCAGGCTCGAGTGGATTCTCCAGGGCTGGCTGCGTGTCTAACCGGAGTTATGGGGGGCAGGGCTCTGGCCTGGGCTGTACAGGGGGTCAGACCAGGTCGCAACGGCCCCTTCTGGCCTTGGGATCTAGGCGCTCCAGCCCCAGCCCAGCTCTGGGATCCCCCCCAGCCCACAGAGCTCCTCCTGCTGCCCGGGGTTAGGTCCCCACGGACCCCCGCTCTGAGCAGGGTCTTAACCCAACAGAACACTTTGCCCTGACTCTGCGAGGCTACTGACCCCAGGGCAGAGCCCCCCATCCCCATGGGGGTCAGTGGCCCCACAGGAGGGGAGCCCCCCACGTCTCTATGGGGGGGGTCAATGGCCCCAAGGGAGGAGAGCTCCCCCCCCCCCACGTCCCCCAAGGTCTTCCCCAGTAGAGGCTCTGGCTCCTTTAAGCAGCGGGGAGGGGGGCGGGGGTGTTACATCAGCCGCCACATGGTTACTCCTCGCCCTGCCCCACCACATGCCGGGTGGAAAATTACTGAGAGGGGGACCCCCTGCCCCGCCCCCCTCGGGGTCCCCCTGTCCCCCGCTACGTCCGACCCCCGCCCCGGCCCCCCGGGTCTCCCTGCCTCGCCCCCAGCGGGCGGAGCACGGGCCCCGTGGGGATGGGGGGGTACCCAGGCTAGCTCCGGGGCGTCGCTCCGGCCCCCGCCGGGCTCGGGCGACCCGAGGCGGGAAGATGCGGGTCGGGCTCGCCGAGCCTGAGAGCAACTAACGTAA